TAATAACAAATAATTTAACTATTTATTGGCCAGTAGCAACTGTGGATTATTTGGAAGAAAAACAAAAACAACATTCATAAATATGCATTTTGTAATTCCTTTTACTGTTATAGGCTTATTTTGAGAAAAATATATTTTCAATAAGTAAACACACTAAATGTAGTTCAAGTTGGCAAAAATTCTTTCATTTGGTGTGTAAAAACCTTCTAAGAATCAATTTTATAATATTTCACATTAAAAATATAATTTTAACCGGACATAGCCGATTTGGAGCAGATCAAATTTTTTTTAAATAAATTTCAAAAATTTTCGTTTTTTTATTTCACATAACTACTAACAGCTTGTAAGCTTCAACTTCATCTTCATGGAGCAAGAAGGTTAATGAACTTATATGAATAAAATACATATACATGTGCGCGTGTAACTTATCATATACAAAGGAAAATATTTATAAATATACCCAACTTAAGTCAAAATCGTCTAACTATAATATAAAAAAATTAAGAGCCATAGTTGTCAGACYTACTAAAATATATGCATTAATTAAAAAAATATGTTTTTTCTCAAGAAATCAAAAATCTTACGGGAATTTTGGAATCCAATGACGATCAATCATGAATAATGTAAAACCAATAAATAATATATCACCACTTTGTACCCGATAGCAGTATTGAAAGTAAACTAGAAATGTAATAGGATTATATGTTTATCTACATACATGTATGCACATAACAGTACCAGGCAAATGTTATCAAAAATCATTAAGAAATTATTTAACCTACTCTATCGACATCGATTATTTTTTCACGCAAATTGATAGGAGCAAACAATAGGGCGCAAATAAAATCTGCAACGCCAAGTGGTGACTCAAGTTGCCTTGTACGTCCATTAGCTAATCTAGAGGTAAGAAACGCATGATTGCACTGTGACAACAAAATCAATCATTGAAAAAACCAAATAGGCATTGATGCTCAAATAAATGTACACCAACAATATATACAGATKTGATTATACATACATATGACTACATAAGTCAGCAAACTTTTGTTTACTAAAGTAATTCATGGCACTCTTAATCAAACTCATAAAGCTAACACCTTGAAATCCATGAACAAWTTTAATTAAATGAGATAAAGAAAGGCATGCAAACTAAGCGGTTTATTCAAATATAGAGTTGTAGATTTAATATTAATTTCATACACATTTAATATATAAACTCATAAACAAACATATTAGCAGTAMTAATTAGCTTTGCTTTAATTAAACTTAACATTTCTGTTAAATCAATGTACACATATTCAGCAAAAATTGTGTATATATTGGGTAGTCGAAAAAGTATTTTCGTATTTTGTCAATAAATGTCGTTGTTGCCGTATATCTCAGGTGCTACCAATCACAAGGTGTCATACCATATAGTCACCAAATATACGTATATATGTATATTTATAAAATATATAAATATATAGTTAAGAACTCATATTGGTAAATAGATATGAGCTCTTAACCTAAACAAATTTACCAAATCCATTAAAATTAAACGAAAATATAAATATTTTTAAATTTTTTAGAGCGTTTGTTCTGTCAACAAAAATGCATATAAAATTTTATCCGACAATAATAAAACAGGTAAGGAAGAGTAAGTTCAGGTGCAACCCAACATTTTCTACTCTTACAACAGCAACAAAGCCAGGGAAATACTTTAAAGTGTAAAACGTCAACTAGAGGATCGAAATCCAAAAAAATTTATATAATATATACACTARCAATAGCAAGCGTTGTCCTGCATGAAATTATGTGTTTTGAAATTAAAACACAGTTTAATTTATATTGTGTTGAAAATCATTTATTTGCGAATTTTCTACATTTTTTCAATGCAGCTTGATAAACAACATTTTTTGTTTTCTATTCCGGTACGTAAATGTACAGAAAAGATGGTTTTTTAACTTGTGAACCGTGTAAAAACATAGCATTTCCATATTTATGTCAGACATTTCTAGCGACTATTATTGTGTGCTGTTGATTGAAATGCAATTTTCCTTAGAAACTGAATACGTTTGAACTGAAATGTCAAATCTTTGGGACTCAAGCATTCTGCCCTTTTGTATTCTATAGCTACGTCACAATCAGTCGGATTCCATTACACGATTTCGGCGCATGAAGATTGCGAAACATACGCGATTCAATAATTCCGTTATTTATGGCCATTTTGCATGTGCCTAAGGCTGCCAATGTATGCATGTTGATGACAAAAAGGACGCCGACCGATATTAACGCGACCTCTTCGTGGCATCGTAACAAATTTCAATCTGTAATTGATCACTTTGTATGAGACTTAGTTAAAGATTTCACTGTATAATTTTCAATAATTTATCTTTTGAATAGCCGAAATAATTAAAGCAAATGACAGAAATTGAACGATTGAAATAAATAAAAAACAAAAAAAAATTGGAAAAAGAAAATGTGTACAGAAAAGTAATTTTTTTTTTTAAATTTAGTCGGTTAAAAATTTACATTTTATGATTTTTTTACAAACCATCCTCATTGGATTCCTTTCAAAGTGGTTCAGGCCTTTTTTCATTTCATGTAACAGTTTGGTCAGCTATAGTGGACAGAAAAGAGCTCAACTTATTTTTACGTATAAGATATACTATATACATACATATAACTCTTAGACTGAGAGACACATAAGGTTTTTTAGAAGAACGGAAATCATTATATGTATTATATGGGATTGTCATGAGTAAATCACGCGCTCTCGTTTTTATTGAGATAAATCACATATTGGCTGATATAAATATGTTGTATAAAGTGTAAAGTCAGCCAGAAGTGCAAAAATCTTTTTATTTGGTATATAGGGCTTAGGGAAGTATTGGCCCGTTTTTTATACACAGAGTTGCTATGGTCAGAAAGTGATTCTCTCAAAATGTATATCCCACTTAAAAGTGAAAGTTAAAATTAGACTAAAAGGGAAGTAGGCGTTGTTATTGTCCGATTTGTTTTAAGTCGGTTGGTCGGCTCCTAAGATATGAGATTTTACCAAAAAGTGGGCGGTGCACCGGCTCCCACTAAACTCTCTCATACCATTTCGGTGGTAAAATTTAATGTCTCTTGYGTATTTAGTTATTGATTTATCGAGCTTTTAGTAGTTTTTAACAGTACCRTTATATGGGGCGTGAGCGGGGTACCAATTTACAGCTTTATATCTTAATTTGTTTTCGGTTAAAGACCTTGTGGGCGTGGCAGTGGTCCGACTGCGTTTATCTACGAACTCGCAGTTTTTTTGTATTAAACAACCCACAAACCAAGTTTCATCGAGATATTTCAATTTTTACTCAAGTTACAGCTTGCACGGATGGATGGACGGACAGACAATCAATCGGATTTCAACTTTTCTCGTCATCCTGATCATATATAAATATATATATAACCCTATATCTATATCGATTATTTCTAGGTGATATATACAACCGTAAGGTGAACAAAACTATTATACTCTGTAGCAACTAGTTGCAAGAGTATATAAAAGTAAAAGTTATTGAGAAAGGTCCCCTTTTCTAAGTAAAAGGTGAAGAATTTAATTTTTCTCTACATCAGTCAAGAGGTTCAAAGAAATAATACATAATCTTGTTTCCGTTCGGTTCTAATTGGAAATCGGTGATTTGGTCTAACTTTAGAGATTTCTTAAGTAATCATTAATAAAGATTTCATCTTCCTCCTCTCACTTTTTCTAATAATAAAAGCGCATTGCACGTTTTTAAGTGTTTCGAATAAAATTGTRCAATAAGTCATTTTAGGAGTAAAAATTTAAATTATGGCCCGGGAAATGACAACACATTATGTATGTAGAAATTTTAAGCTGGTTGTATTACATTTTCTATAAAAATATGTTGCATATGAGTTATAGTTCATATTGTGAGTTTTTGCTCAGGGGAATTTTATTTTTACCTTTTTCCTATTAATGTTTATATTTTTTTGTCGAAAATAGAAATTTATTTATTTTGATTTGGGTGCGCCATAACTTGCGGTTATTGCTTTGTAATCGACTTTAAAAATAGTCCAGTGAAATTGTTAAATTGTTTCGCAAGCACGAACAAAGGGCGCGGTATGTCAACTTATGAGCTTAGCCGTACATCAGTACTCACTTCCATGTATACATAATTTTATTTGCGTATATGTTTATAATTATGTATGTTGCTGACCGACTGACCAAAATTCATTTAGCCTCTTCAACGATCACTGCAATATTATACGACACACATACAAAGGACTGCTTAAAAGCTTGTACTTGCTACCAAATATCGCGTACATTACTGTATTTAACTGCAAGTACATACATATGTACATATATGCATATGTATGTATGTATATATGTGCAACGTCTCAAACACCTGCATTTATATGCGTAAAAGCAACTACTGATCTGGCCAATACATATTTACATACATATGTTTATATATCCGTATAAGAGTATACATACTATACATACATATATGTAATATCCATTATAATGGGTCTGGTTTTGCATTTCTTGTTGACACTTCTTCTTCTTCTTCTTCTTCGTCTACAATACTGTTTTAACAGTAAAATGCAGTTAGCAATATAGTTTAATATGTACATACATAAATACATTGTGAATGTGGATATACATACTTCCTCAGCATTTGCTTATGAACTTGGGTGTAGTRCAATTTGTTTATAGTTTTTATTTATATTATTGGATTTACATTTGTTTATTTTATCAGCAGTTTGGTACTAAACGACTCTGCTTTTTTCACTTTTGCTTTTCATATGTCATTTGAGGCATAACGACTATTTAAATTTGGTTTTTTCGGCCGAAAATTCATCGCACCATCAATATCGTCCATCGAAATGTCCGCAACGCTCGATGGTGTAATTTATAGGTAGATACGTGTATATTATTTGGTTATACCAAGTAGTTGGCGGTCATTAACGATACCCTTTCTGTAATATCTGCGCATATAAAAGCCTGATAGCCACTGCAGTCGCCACACAGTCAGTTGTGAATTGAACCACTGAGGCAACCAAAAATTGCAGTTCAACGGATTTAACCACATTTGAAGAAGAAGAAGTGAATAACAATCGCTTAAAATGAAATTCCTCGCTTTGGTATGTTACAATCAGTGATAGTTGTGTGTTAAAAAGTGTACATTTTTTGAAATTTTTGAATGAAAATATCAAATGCTTATTTCGGCGAGTAAAATAATGTTGAATCGTGAATTTAGCAACAAATGCAAAAAATACACTAGTTTTTAGTATTAAATTGTATAAGAAGAAAGGCTGAAAGGCACAGATAAAACGAATTTTGAGCTGAACTGGAGAATTCCTAGTTGGAAGTTTAATCACACCTTTTTGTAATATTGAAGTAAAATAATTTTGGATAATTTGGATAATTTTTAACATCATATCTAAATAAAAGATACAGCCGTATAACTTAACCTTACTTAAATAATAGATACTTGTATTAATTTTTGTGACAAGAAATTAACTATTATTCAGGAAGGCTGAAAGGAACTGAGAATTAATTTAGAGCCGAGCTAAAGAATAGAAATATTCTTTGCTTTAATCTTTTTTTTCAAATATTTTATATGTTGGAAAATACTGAAATTATATTCTCGTGTAAAAAACAGCATTTCTTCGAAAAAAATTTTSTCATATAAAAATTAAATAATTTATTACAATTTGTTATTTTTACAAACATACACTATTAACAAAAAAGTTCTGAAATTTTTGGAAAAATATATTTAAAATTCGGCCATTTCGGCGACGCYATTTCCGTGGACCACTCGGAAAACAGATGCGCCCAGGTTGGCAGGATAACTCCTTACATTATCATGTGAAGTGAAAAATATGTGTTTTAGTTAACACTTTAACTTAGAACTTGAACAAAGGAAAAAAACTGAAAATTGGATTTTTGACAGACATTTTTACAWAAAAAATAGAATWTCGCGACRTTTTTCAAATAGTTGTAATCGAAAAAAATCCTTCGTCAAAGTCTTTATGAATTATATCTCAAAGACCTGTGTAAAATTTTATGAAGATCGGTTGAGTAGTTCTCAAGAAATCTTACCAACCGATTTCAAAAACACAGTCCAGTTCTCAAGGCCTTATCTCCGAAACTATTCCTCGGATGAACTTGAAAATTTAAGGCAATATTCTAGAAGTGTTGTAAAAATAATAAGATTATAAAAAATAATCGATTATTCCGTAAGCACATATGTATAGCCCCTCAAGTCGAACGGTAAAGAAACTTTTTTCATCCGATTGTGAAAGCAACGTATCGAGAAAACGCATTTAAAGTTTTGGGAGCACTAAGTTAAAAAATTCTTAAAAATAACCTATCTCCGATACTATTTGCCGACTGAAGTTCATCAATTTTCTAAGAATATTTTCAATTATATGTATGTACAATCCTATTATAAGCAAAAATAAAATCAATTTTTGAAATTCACAAATTCTTAAACCCCTTAAATAAGTCAATCAAACCAAACAATTTTAGAAAATGCCGTAATAAGCTTTTAAAAATCTATCAAATTAATAAAAAAGTGAAATAATTTTTTCTAATAATGTAATTCGCAATTTTTTTCTGACGCAATATATTGTAAATTTAGGTTTTAACTTCTCAACGTAAGATTAGTTATTATTACTGTTTTTAGTTATTATTTTTTATATTTATTTCAGTGATTATTTTAATTTATTTTGACAGATAAACTTATTTTAGCAATATAAGTATTTCAACAATTCTGAAGAAATAAAATTAAATTTTAGGTGATCGGAAAATGACAAATAAATTGATTTGGAGCAATGGTGTAAATCTTTAAAAACAAATTGTAATAATAACTTTAAAAATTTATTTTTTATTACAATTTTATTGTTGGTGAGTTTTTAATAATAACCTAAAAAAAATCTTTTTTTTATGACTTTTAGACATTGTTGGTGTGTTTGCTAATGGTTGCGCTGGTAGCAGCGGCACCCGCTGAAGAATCCCTACCAGGTGATATTTACGAACAGGAGGAGCAAGGGCGGCAAAACTTCTTCAAACTGAAGAAGATCAAGAAGTTGCTTTTGGGTTAACCAAAAAACATTTACATATATGCAGCATATATGTAGCATGTGCTTAAATTTTTATATTCGTTTTTATCACTTGAATGTGTTCATAGTTATTTTTACAATTCGTTTTTTTTTTTATTATATTTTGTTGAATTTGTTTAGCAACTAATTTTCATACTTAGACGCTGTTAAAGACCGCATAAGCTCATCTTTTTATTTGTACAACATAAGGAAATTATTTTTGTAAATATTCCACATACATACAACTATAGTTCTGTAAATATTGATTTTCAATAAATATAACAAAAATGGAAAAAACAAATTTTGACAAACAATTAAAGTGAAGGTGTTAAATTCAAGCCAAAAAGCGCTTAAGCGGATATTTGTATATTCGTGCYAAACAGGTTTATTAAGAATAAAACTTTTCAATTTAAATGGGTATACATAAAATTTGTTGAGCGGATGAATTTTGCTGGAAAAAAAAATTTGAATAAATTTTATTTTTACTTTTTCTTTTTACAAAAATATTTATGTAAATGGATTGTTTGTAAAATCCATTTATAACAGAGTTTATGCAGTTTAACAGTAMAATTTTGGTAAAGAATGACACATAGAATATTTTTATAAACCAGTTTTGAGATTACTTTGATAAATATTGTGCTGTTAATGGTGAAGGGAAGTTTTATGGAATGTTATAAGCGAATGGGCAAACATTTACATTTCTCTTCGAATTTTAATTAATGGGTTTTAGCATAAATTTCACCGCGCTTGAACCTTTTGTTTGTGACWTTAATAGCTTTCTTATTCTAAATGCTATCGGTTATTCTAGAATATCATCTTCTATTGCCACGCGTGCGCGTTTGAAAATAAAATTTTAATAAATTATATTTTTCTAGTTTCTATTTTGTAATAAAATTTGGAATTTTATATTAAGTAAAGGTCAGCAGGCAAGGCCAAGCAAGCGCTTGAGTAAGGTAGAATTTTTTTTATGATTTGAAAAAGTTCTGCTTTTCGGTGATTTCATTAAAAGCTTGAAGTTCTAATTCAGAAATAAGAATATAAAGAATAGAAGACATATACATATATATTATACGAGTATATGCAAATACAACGATTCATTGTTGTTATATAGACTATTTTCGAACCAAATGGGTTTAGTCGCATGTTCGCATGTTTGTCTTTGGTAAGAGAAATTCATAAGGTTAGCAAAAAAATTTAGGTACATGCAAGCATATAGTACATACATACACACGCAAATAAAAATATATATTGTATATAATTAGTGGAAACACATTTAAATATTTACATTTTAGTAATAAATTTAATTTATTATTTTTTTTTTTTTCATCTTAAAAGTAACATATTATTTAGAGTAGTGGTAGTTATGAGCTGATATTTTCTTATATACTTTTTTACTTAGTGTTAACATACATTTTTGAATAAACGACGTGAAAATACGACGTTTATGGGTTTAGTATGGCGGAAGTTTTTTGAATAACGGTAATGTGATGATTCAGCATGTCGTTGAAATTAACCCAAGAACAACAATTTCTTAAGCAATTTCAACTTCAATAGAACGCTCTTATCATCGGTGGCCTCGATAGTGTCGTGAGCACCCTCAATACCTTCGGGAATGGCCTCCTCTACGGGCACGGCGCTAACAGCCATGAAGAGCGCGCAACAAACAAAGATAGCCTAAATGAGTTTGAGAACAAGCGAAAAAATATTTATTAGAAATGCTGAAAATTTTGGAAATTTTTTTGTTTTTGTATTTTTTAAAGACAATTTTAAAATATTTATTGTTACCACTTTTTATAACTAAAATTTTGTTTAGTTTTTTTAATGTTTTATTATTATTTTTTTTTTTGTTTTATTTTTTTGGAATTTTGTTTTAATGTAAAAAACTAAGCTCTAATTGGTTTAATGTTTTTTCATCTAAAAAAAAATTTTTAATGAAATTATATTTTTTAACACGTAAATTTAACTTGTACTTTAATTCTTGTAATCTCATTAATTTTACACGCACCAAAAGCAGGAATTTCATCTTGTAAATGTTTTGTGTCGAAATGTCTTTAACTCGAAACCGCGAAGGTCCAATGGTAAACTTTAACTGATATTCAGTTTAAACTTAGTACTACTATTTATACCTAGTCTAGTTGAGTACGATGTCGGCGTTGACTGCTGGCAGCGACGCTGCTGCGGCTGACRCAGCGAGCAACGCAAAAATCTGCGGCACCTACCCTAGCAATGAACGTGCGGTATATACAAACATATGCATGTTTATATGTACAAAAATATATTTATGTATGTATATATGTCAGCAAATGATGCGCRTACTATTTTCATTGATTTAAGTCATTTTGGGGGTGCCATTAGTTTTTTAACATATTTTTGAGCATTTTGTTGCGGCTTTTTCTCCTGTTCTTTTAACTCTTCCGTTGTCTTGGTTGACGCTTTCCGTCTAACGAATGTTTATTTAAGTGGCAGCTAGTACTCGGCAAAGACGATTCGAATATACCTTTGTATCTGATTATTGTCTCTAGTCTAAACATTTTTTTTTACACAGCGRACTAATTCTTTTGTGTTTTATTTGACGGTTAAATCACGTATGCACACGCGCTACATATAATATATTTTCATATACATATGTACATGTAAATAACTTATCACAAAAAAAATATAAAAATTTAATTTATTTGCATATTAGCATCTTAGCAGAGATATTTAACTTCAAAGTTATGGACATAAATAGAGCCATGAAATTCATTTTTGAAAATCATTCTTTACCTCTACACACCATAGTTCGCACACATTTTTAGTACATTTTTAAAGTTTTATCAAATTTATTAGAAATACCAACAATATTCTAAACATAAGAAGTGAAAGATGATATAAGAATATTTTTAAGGCACAACAACTTACAATTTAAAGAAACAGGTTATTCCTTAGTTTTGTCATAAATTCCTTTATAAAAAGGATGCCAGGTGATGAGACAAAAAGAAGCGGTCGTCCCATCGAGACATAAAAACTGTTCGCGAACGCATTCGCTGAAATTCACTCAGAAAACAGAAAACAGAAAATTATGTTAAGCGATATGTTAACCAGATCAGACACGTTAAGGCATGTTCGAGATGAACTCCACATAAAAGCCGACTGATGGACAACTGGTCATCTTCTGACAACGCGCTTAAAGCGGATTGAGCTCAACAGATGCAATCAGCTTCTCCGGTCAGCAGCCACGAAAGGATACTTTCAAAATTTAAAAATTGTTCAATTTTTAGGAATTTTTTAGTAAGTAAAAAGATAGAATCTACGCAACAACTTCAAAAGACGGCAAAAAATTTTATTACAAAGGTTCAACGTAGTCACCAAGCATGGTTTAGAGGGGAGTCTTCCGTAAAGACGTTATATTTTTGCATTTCTGTTGACAAAGAATCAAAACTGGGGCAAATATATATCAGCAAGATGTTTTAGAAGGCGGAGTAAAGCAGTTAAGCATTACTCTCTTCAAGAGAGAGCACTCGACCTTCCAGCAAGATTCTGTTGTAGCATAAGTAGTATATGATAGAAGAATAATATTGCTTAAAGCAATAATCCTAGTTTGATTGCAGTAGATTATTGACCATCTGTGTAAAAGTTTACAAAAAAGTTGTCTCATGAAACTTTGATTCGAGTAGCTTCGTCAATCTGTTACCAATAGGAATTGTAAGTTCAATATGTGCTTATTTCAAATAAAAATGGAACCTCATGCAGACAATATACAAACAATTCTAAAGGAAACCAAAAACCACTTAATTTTATGAGGAGTAGAAGTTATCCTTACGAAAGTAAGGTAGGTTAGTTAGATTAAGTTCAAAAATCGATCCTAACAGTTGTGGTACCAAAAACTCCTAAATAATTCATCATAAGAYCATCATAAATGTCCAATGTCAGTTTTGGCCTGGTCTCCTGCTTCCCCGAATATAAGACTGCGGAGATTTCTCACTCACAGTCTTAAAAAAGCTGGACAGTGAAGTTTAGATGTTTCTACCTCACCGTCCTAATTAAAATTTTGACAACTTGCGTCAAACATCATGTAGTATCTACTGAATCTCCTGCATYCTGCTCTAGATCAAAAGGATCTCGCAGTCACACAGAAGCTGGTCGCCAACCAACGCCTACGAACCCCGGAGATCTAACTCTTTCCCACTCTGATGTGACCGGGGCAAGGGTGATCTGTTTGACTATCTCAGCTTTGCAGTTACCAGCGATGCCGCTATAACCAGGCACCCAAACGTGTTTAAAGACGAAGTACCTTCTTGCTATTTCTTATGAGGGCCGACACTATTTAACTAACTTTGAGCGCACAGTTAAAGAACTCAGCGCTAGTATTGCCGTCTGCTGTCGGGGAGAATGATCACCTCCCTAAAAGAGACTATACTTTGGACCAGTATGTTCACTACTACCTTAATAGGAATCGTTTCTACATGCAAAACACTACTGGTAGCCTAAGCTACCTTGAGCTCTTTACAGGGAACTACCCCTCTAACCAACAGTTTGTCATGTTTGTATTTTTTCTTTAAAACCTAAATAAGTCTTTATAATATTCATAATTGGATTCAATATATATTATATATGTACATACATACATTCTTATGTAAGTATGAGAAAAACACATACCAATGAATTTTCAATCCTGTTCATAAATTCATACATACTTACGTGTAATGTAAATGCGAAATTTACATASAAGTAGTTACATACAAAATTTCAAATTGTATTTGTATATTCCAACCGAAACTGCACTGGTCTCAAGCAGGTAACTGTGTGCATACATATCTAATACATTCCACACATAATTATGTCACTTGATTTCGCTCTTCAAGCTATTTGATTATGTAACGTAGGTATGCCCCTATATACATACTTAACATGTACTGTAAATGAATACCTRAACATATAATAAAATGAAATGAATGAGAATTACACCTTGGTTATTAAAATAAATATAAAAAAATGTCCGCACAGCAGTATAAGTAATTAGTAAGATCAGCGATGACATTGTTGATAATATTTCAGTTACCATAGTATTTGCAGTCGACGTTGCTTCAGATTGTAAATTAAGTAATGGGCATTTATGTATTTAGTTCGCGAAAAGCAATAAGAATGATCATTAACGCATTTGTRTACATGCTTACAAATTTTACTTCAACACACAAACCGATTCATCGATATAAGCTACTATTAAAGTTAAAAAATAAAATGATAAGCTTAACAAAACCGACAGGAAGCGATACCCAGATTCACAGTATAACTTTAAAAATTAAATGTATTATCACGGAGCTCCTTTGCCTACTTCAATACATGAACTATATGCATTTGACGATCGCATAAAAACTAATGCATTAGGAGTTACTCTTTACCATTACTAGTATATGCAGATATCCATATGTAAATATTGTACGAAATATGCCGAGTCATTGCAGGAAATAAAAAATACAATCACTTACCAAAAGGCTGCAATGTAAGTAAATGTTAATTTMTTGCGTGAAGAACATAGACACAGAGTTTGTAAGGAACAAAATCACACTTTTAAATCAAATATGATGGAATATACATATGTCKTTTTTTTTAATTCTCTCAAAAGTCACAATACCATAGGAAATTCTTATTCAAGCTTATTTAAATCAGTAACATATGATTTGACGACCATTTCCTGTCAAACAATCGTTTCCAGAGTATTACATTGAACATACCACATACTATTATAAATTTTACATATTATATATTTGATATACAAGATAACTACAATGATACTACAAATACCTTTTTGAAATATACCAGATCTTCCCTATAAAATTAGTACAAYCAAATAAAATACATAAATAAATATTTTAATAAATATAACACTTTTCATCACCTTGAACGCTCTATTATAACTCTCCACATATTTAGATTCTTGACATTTCTTCATTATTTTTCAATGTGTAATGGCAACACTAGTGTAGTCCAGAGGAGAAAAGTAAAATCAGCATAAATCCAGAAAATTTTCTTTATTTTTCCAATTACAACAAAATTACCTCATTGCTAAATACTAAACGTTAAACTGAAAAACTTAAAAAATTCTAAATAACCGTGTAAAAATGACTGGCTCGTTTAGTGTTAAAATAAAATCGAAGAACGGCCAATTCATTGTGAAGGACTTGACTGCTAAAACAACGATTGGCGAACTGAAAGCAAAAGTTTCACAATTAACTGAAGTGAAGGAACCACAATTGCACATACTCGCTGGTTTTCCGCCTCGTCCATTAGATTTATCGCAAAATGCACATTTTATATCGACGATAGGAGTTAGCAGTGGTGAAACATTAATTGTCGAAGAAAAACCAGCAAATACAGCAGCTTATTGCTTAGAAGATGATGAAGCTCTTGCACGCAGATTGCAAGCCGAAGAAGAGGAAGAGCAACTACGTCAAGTAGTTGCTGAAGCTACAAGGACAGAAGGTGCCAATGGCCCACAAGCACCCGTTGAACTACCAAGTGGCTCCAGCGGAAATTTTAATGGAATTTTACTCAAAAAGGTTGTACCGGCAGATAATTCTTGCCTTTTTACGAGCATACGTTTTGTGTTAAATGGCAAAATCGACAATGAAGGCAGTGAAATGATGCGACATATTATTGCTCAAGTTGTATCTGCTGACCCACAAGAATTTAATGACGCTGTTTTGGGCAAGTCAAATTCTGAATATTGCACATGGATACAAAAACCTGATTCGTGGGGAGGTGCAATTGAAGTTTCAATACTCTCCAACTATTATGGCATAGAGATCGATGTTGTAGATATACAAAATGCTATCATTAATCGTTTCGGTGAGGATAAAAATTATGGACTACGAGTCTTTCTACTTTTCGACGGTATACATTACGATCCTCTATACATGGAAACAGTAGGTGTAAGTAATAAATTTTATACCTATCGACACAATTCATTTATTTAATATTTTATTAAATTAATTTCAGGGCGGTGCTCCTGCAACAATATTTCCAATCGAAGAATTGGGTGTATATCATCAAGCGGAGCAGTTAGCTAACGAAGCAAAATCATCACGACAATTTACCAATGTCGATAAATTTTCTCTGCGTTGCTGGCAGTGCGATGCTATGCTGGTTGGTCAAGTGCAGGCACAGCAACATGCTAAGTCGACCGGTCATACTGATTTTGGGGAAATTTAATACGCCGTAATATTTAGTTCGCTCTATTTCTTCGCTTTCTTCGTATTCGCCTATTACGTACTCACATCCTAAGACTTGCGATTCACAGATTGAATAAAATTATGTAAGAACGACCAGAGACAAACGAAGGGTCGTCCGATTTTCTTATCATTTTCACAAAATTGTCATCATAGCTGCGTTAGAACTTCTCATCTCATGACATTACTTTTTTTTTTAAATAAAATTGTTAATTTCTGGATATTTATTAACCCAGTTTAAATCTGCAAAAAAACAATAATATTTTAAACGTTTTATATAACGTTCTATAGTAGCTTAGCTAATCCAAAAAGTAGCATAAATTGCTTCAAGCCAGAATTTTAAGTATATTTAAGATGTTTAAAAATAGTTTCAAATTAATAACAAATTACTCTGGTTTGCAAATATGTAATACCCAAATGTATTTATGCTTTATTTAACTAAAAATCTTTATTCTCCGCAGGATGAAACGGTTTTATATTTTCATTACAATTTTTATTCATATATATTAGGRAGCTTAAAAAAGGAATGCTATTCTGCCCAAATTTGCTACGGAGCAGGTGCCCATGGGGGTGTCATCGGTGCAGGATTTTGTAAATATGACATCACTACCGCGCTAACGGATAACATAAAAGACGAGAGCACCTGTTCAGAGAATAAAGAAAGACACTAGGGACACAATCCTGCTGTTTTTATCTTTATATTTTATTACCTGTTTTGCATCATCACTGACTCTTGAACTAGCAAAGCTAATACAAGAACAATATAGAGCGAACCATGCACACCATTTAAGCTTCATCATCAGTCCACACATCGAGAAGATCATGCCTAGAAAATGMAAACTCTTGCAATTGTCTATATGGTATATAAATACTGCAAGTAATTAGTACCCAAAATATTCATATAATCAGGCATAAGATCTTCGCTGGAACTTCCCGCTTGACCTTGGTTTTGTGGGGCCTTGTAGCGGTTGACCTTTTCTTTACGGCGTGGATCCACTTGCATGCTCATTCTATCTTATTTATTAAAATAAAATTACTTTTTATTTTGTTACAAATAGGTTAATCACTCGTACGTAAAGTGGTTGTCAAATTAAAGTCATAACTGAAGTGTCAGCAAAGACACAAACCGATTATTTAAGACCAATGTAAACAAACTGCTTACAATTATTTAAATTTTTAAATTTCAAATTAAAAAAAATAACCAGACAAACATGACAGAACTATTGAAAAGTGAATATAATCAAAAATTTGTGGAGTTACATATATATATTAAATACATTATTTTGCACTAACAATTTTTTTTGGAAAATTAACTTTATTAATTTTATTAACAAACGTAAAGCTGGTAACCCTAGCATATTGTGCGTAAACAGCTGTTGTCTTATTAWTGAATATATTTTGCACCGGTTTCCACAAATATTTTAAATTAATTTGTGTATTTTTGACTTGATAGATTGGTAATGGAGATTTTAAAGCAAGGCGCAGAAGGCCGTCTTTACCTTGGTGTATTTAAAGGGGAAACGTGTTTAGTAAAAGAACGTTTCATTAAACATTACCGCCATCCAGAATTGGACACACAGATTACAAGACAACGAATCAAAGCAGAGATAAAAGCGGCTACTCGATGTCAAAACGCTGGAATATTAGTACCACATATTTTGCATACTGATCTAAATGAACGTAGAATTTATATGGAATATTTTGGAGAAGCCATCACAGCCAAAGAATTAATTCAACGTGTTGTAACTGGTCATTCAATGGAGACAGCGGAAATAGTTTTGAAAAATCTTTGCACACAAGTCGGTACAATAATTGGAAAATTGCACGCAAATAATATAATACATGGCGACTTAACAACATCGAACATACTTATCAATCCCAAAAGTGAAAATAAGGATTTTAAGGAGTACGACATTGTTTTTATTGATTTCGGATTAAGTCATTACAACCAAGGAGCGGAAGACAAAGGTGTCGATTTATATGTATTGGAAAGAGCGCTTCTCAGCACACACAGTGAGCAACCATATCTATTTGATTACATGCTCGAAGCTTACCGCAAAGAATGTGGCAAGGATGAAGGAACTATTGTAGCTAAATTCGAAGAAGTACGAGCGCGCGGACGGAAACGTACTATGATTGGCTAACCAGATGTGTGAAAAGATTAGTTTCATTTTTATTTTTTTATGATAAGCTTAATTGTGACTATATCCTAATTTACACAACAAAATACRAAACATAGAAGATATTCAACTATTCTATCCGCACAACTGCGCTTTTTTCGTTGGGCAAAGAATTCTGTGAATCATCGCGTAAGTTTTCAACTTTAATCTTTTTTATATACTTTCGAACTTTTTGTTGTTTCGAAAGCTTTTGATTTTTTAATGGCTCAATGCCTTCAGAGTCATCGTCCTTATACTGTTGATATGGATGTTCACGAATTTTTTTGATTGCATCCTCTATTTTCAAGCCAGCAATTCCCTGTTCTTCATAGTAGAGGCGCAATTTAGCACAAAATTTTTCGTGTCCCCTTCTAAATGACTTCGTTTTTGTTGAAGGGTACTAYAAAATATTGAAAATTAAAATTGAATTTAGAAAACATAATTATAATTAAAATTACTCTTGCATCAATAGACCGCGCACATCGATCGTAAAAATTGTGAAGATGTTTGAGAAAAACCTCGTTTGGTTTGATATTTTCATCCAAACTAATTTGTAAAATTTCAATAACATATGGGAAGTTTCTATTACCAGTTCCTTGTCGCAACATTGCACCCAAAATTTGTATGTTCATTCTATAAGGTTGTAAATATAATACAAATGTGTCTGCTTCGATATTGCTATAATTGCCTTACCGTATGCCGTTCTCTTTCATTTGTTGCAATAATTCTCGGGATTCCACTTCCGTTTGACATCCTAACGCTAACACGCCATAGGTAATAATATCAGGCTCTAAACCGGCTGTCCGTATCATTGATATCACTTCTTTCGCTCCTTCGTAGTCGAAACGCATAGAACGCTTTTTTATTAGAATATTAAAAAAGTCAATGTCTGCTTTTAGACCAATTTTTCGCACGTATGTTAACAACTGTTTTTCGGCTGCATATGTTGGCGGTATGACCTCCAATAATGTTGTAAAAGTTTCAATATCAGGTGTAATTTTATATTCTTTCATAAGATTTAAAAAGCCCGACAAACCGCCCAAGAGTAAAAAACGTTCATGCGGAAGGGAAACTTCCGCTAACGAAACCAGGCTCCCGAGATGAGGTCGTGCTGCCAACAGGTTAGGCATTTCTAACTGTTCTKGATTATTTCTAATTTCTATAACTTGGGATTGCTTATTCACATCTAGAGCATTAGATGATGATTCTTCTTTAGGCAGTGATGTCTCCTTTTCTATAGATGTAGTCGTAGCTAGAAATTCTTCACGTTCTGCACATATTTGATGTAATACTTTTTCCATAGTATTCAAGTCACCGAATCCACAATCTCTCGCACAACGTAAAACAGTGTTGAAAGTGTAATAATCAGGTTTTAGTTCATACTGCATCATTTTGTGCCAAGTAAGAAGACAATGACTGTCGAAAAATTTAAACAAATTTAAATTAATAATGTATGCAATCATGTTTATAAAATGAGTTCTTACCGGAATCCATATTCTACATCGCTTGCGCAGGCTTGCAACAAGAAATTGAATGTTTCAACATTCAAAGGCAATTGTTTCTCCATTAACTCATCCGCAAGCAAATATGMCGTCTTTACGTCACCACAACGTCCAAAAGCTTTAATCATTGCATTATAATTTTTTACATTTGGTTCATAACCCTTCTCTATCATTATTTCACGTAATCTATTAGCCTGTTCAATGCCGTAGACCGTAGATGGAGCATTCGCACAGGCATTAAAAAGTGACGTATAAGTACCGCCTTTCACTTTTAATCCCCTTTGMCGCATTTTAGTAAATAAATTAAATGCTTTACGCGTATAACCTGCCTTTGCACATCCGCTTATTAGTAAATTATATATATATGCATCAGGCTTGGCACGATCTTGCTTTAACATTTGTACCTCGAGTACCGCAATAGCATCTTTTAGTTTTTTCTCGGCTAGATAGGATTTTATAAGACGTGCGTAATCAATTGTTCGTAATGCTCTGCTTTTAGGATTATTTGTATATTCATCTTCCATAACATCTCCAGTATCTTCTTTGATCTCAGATGTTTGATTGTTACCAAATATATCAGCATCGTTAAATTTTTCCACAAAATGGTCCATATGACTATTCAGATTATCTTCTTTCGACGAATTCTCATTTMGTAATGGCTCATGGTCTGGAAGAGTCTGTTGTTTCTTATTAGCTTGTCGTTGCTCTTCCAAACCTGCATCTTTATCATACGTTTTAATATGCAGTTTACGGACACACTTTGATTCTTCAAACAAGCTGTAAATACTGTATTTTAATTTAAGGCACTCATTGAGACGGGATTCCTGCGACACCTTATTGCTCGTATACCACAACTGACGCAAAGCTCCAACCCGGAGCAAACGAATGGCCATTTTATTTATTTCAAAGTATCTGTGTTATTTTTATATAAACTCCTTCAAATTGCATGCTGTTTTATTCATTACTGATTAGAGTGGCCAGGTTACTGCTAAAATTAGTAGCTCAAGCTTTTTAATCTTATTATCAATAAAAATAAAAAAAACATTTAAAATATGCTTAGAACTTTACTATCATCATTGATTCATCCGATTTAATGTATTCTTGAATTCAATATTTTATTAATTTTTTCACAAAACTTTAAATTTTTCCCAACAAGGCACATACAAACTTTTTAAAATGCGCCAAGAATTGATAACGTCAGAGTTGCCAATCCTATATGTATCTCAGCTGTACTGTATCAACTGTTTTCTGTTTGTTTTCATTGTCAATTCCGCATTAAATGTTTTTATTTGTGAATGTYGCTTGGTGACTCACACATGTAGTAATTTTCAATCAAAAGTTAGATTAACTTAAAAATGTTTAACAATTTATTTGGCAAAAAACCAACTGTTAAAGAACAGCAAAGGGAAAATGATAAGAACCTACGAAAAGCCAATCGGGACATAGAGCGTGAGCGCCGAAAACTAGAAGAGGAGGAACGCAAGCTGCAGCAAGAAATAAAAAAGGCTGCGGCACAAGGCAATAATGATGTATGCCGCATATTGGCGAARCAACTTGTGGAAATAAGGAAACAAAAGTCTCGAACATTTGCAGCTACCAGTAAAATTACATCAATTGGTTATCAAAATAAAAATATAGGAACAAATATAGTGCTAGCTGATGCAATGGGAACTACTGCCAAAACAATGGGTGATATGAACAAAGTGATGCGGCCGGAAAGTATTGCTGCAAATATTCGAGATTTCCAAAAAGCAAATATGCATATGGAAATGACAGATGAGATGATAAACGATACGTTAGATGACATGCTGAACGAGTCGGGCGATGAAGAAGAAAGTGATGCCATTGTTAATAAGGTTTTGGATGAAATTGGTATTGAAATATCAGGTAARATGGCGAACATTCCGTCCACCGGCTCTGGAGATTTGGAAAAAAGTACACGTAGCGAAAAGGATATTGAAGCTCAATTGGCTAAATTGCGCTCCACTTAGTTATCTCTGTAACACTATAAAATAAGTTAGTTTTTATAAATGTAACCCTTATCATCATGTGGATTTTAAATAAAATGCTATTACTTAAGATATACATATTTTACTTATATACCAATCCATTAACAATCTTTAAATTTCACATAAATGCATTAACTTTATAGCCTTGCTGACATACCACCGGCAGCGACAATTGATTCGCCTGTAATATAAGAAGCATCATCAGAAACTAAAAATGATACTATTCCACCCATTTCTTCTGGGGTACCCAGACGACTCATAGGTATATTTGAGATCGCTGCATTATTAGCCGATTCAGTTTCGTGCAGCTAATGAAAAAAATATATATGTTACTCTTTTTACACTTACTTTACATACCTCATACATACCGCACTTGAGAATTTGGTTTTTATAATTCCGGGTGCTAAGCAATTTACTCGAATTCCTTCGCTAGCCAACTCTTTGGATGCAGCTTTAGTTAAACCAATTAAAGCTGTCTTACTAACGGAGTATGCACCTAGCAACTATAAAAAAGTCTTATTTGAGAAATAACGATTAGATGATCTTATCTTCTTATCTTATTGATTAGAAACAAATAAAACATATATGTATGTATATWTATGTACATACATTGAAAGCATCGTAGCCCGCTATGGAAGACACAAAAACTATATTGGAACCTTGTTCCTTTCGTAAATAAGGCAATGCCTCTTTTGCAAGTAAATAAGAAGATTTTACATTGATGTCGAATATTTTATCCCAGACGCTTTCCTCGCATTCCAACACACCACCCACTACTGGATTTGTAGCGGCATTAGATACCAAAATATTTAATTTTCCATAAGTGCGTATAGTTTCCTCAAATAGTCGTTTCCTATCTTGTGCTTCTCCCACATGACATTTTAAACCAGTAACTTTAAGATTTAGCTTTCGTAAACGTTCAACCGCATTTTCAACATTTTCGCTCCTTACGATTACTGATTACCACAGCCGCACCATCCTCGGCCAAACGTTTAGCAATTGCAAATCCAATTCTAGTAAAGGTAATATTGTACACATTTTTGCCAACAAAAAACATTATTTATCATGAACATACCCATCCGTAGAAGCTGTAACGATTGCTACCCTTCCTTCTAAGCGTTTCATATTTTTCTCTGTTGCGGTATGAATTCCACTACTTGATAAGCGTTTATGACAAATATTTAAAGTTACACCAGGTACATTAGCTAGTTGAAAAATATTTGCATTTAACCTTTAATCAATGAGATTGAACTTTAAACATTGTGCGCATTAACTTACCTCCAGCGTAAACACTTTTTGCTTTTGTTACAACTTGCCCTCTGATAAGGAACATTTTTACAGATTCGGATTCCTATCCTCTAAACAGAACCTCACAGGCGACAAAAGTTAGAGCGGATTAAGCGTCGTATTATATGACGAATGTTAAATAAATAAATAATATACATGTATTTTGATTTCCAAAAGAATTAACACCGGTTTCTTAACCCTTAAAATTTAACATTTCTGAATTTCATTTTTTAATATTTATTAGAAAAATTTCGTTATTATAGGCCTTTGTTAAAACCAATATCAGCATTTATTATTTAAAAAATGAAATAATCAACACAGTTAACGTTATTTATGTAAATAACTGTTACACTAAATATATTTATTAAAAACATGCTATTTTTTAATTCAACTGAAAGGTACACAAAATGCAAATAAATAATTTTTATTTCAGTGAAGCAATTTATTGGAAAATTAATAAATTAGTTTAATATAGTTTTTTTTAATGTTGTTGCGTTTATTTTGATATCGTTATGCGTTAGACACTATAACGCTAGTAACGACTAGCGTTGACGTAAAAAAGTAATCGTTGCGATAAGCTTTTTTGTATTCGATAGAAGAAACACATATCTATAAAACGGCATCACAACAAACTACAAAATAAATTTATCACACAGATTTGAAATATTTCAAAAACGTTATCAGTAGATTTAAACTACTTTAATAAGAATGTAAATATATCTTAAATTAGATTTTCTTATATAATGTTCTCGCCAAAGACTTGAAGAATTTTAACTAATCACTAATCTAGTCTGTTCTCACTGCCCTTGGCGATTTATAAAACAGTTGTTTTTCACATTAAAAAATTCACATCATTTARTATTTATTAAAAGAAAACATTGTGATGTCGTACTTTGTTATAAAAGTTGTATTTTTTTTTATAAATATTCTCCATTCAATGGAAATAATGGTGGAGATTTTTGATTTTGAGCGCCTAGCAATGAGACGTTTGCTACTTGCCCATACAATGCTCAAAATAGCTAGTCAATATGGAGCAAATACAACAAGATCCATTTGGATGAAGGCAAGTACATAAATATTGGTCTTATATGTATTACAATGTCGTTCGTTTAATTAAAATACGTATGTATGTATATATATTTTAGGCTCGTAAGCAAATGTTTTGGGAAGTCGATTGCCAGGTAAATTCAGATGCATTTTTTAAAAGCACCTTCCGAATGAAGCGCCAATCATTCAATAAATTGTGTATAATGTTGAAAGGCTTGGAGAGGAAAAACACTAACTACCGAAAGTCCATTCAATTAGAAAAACGTATTGCAATTGCTGTATATACTTTAGGGTCTTCTGTCGATTACCGTACAATTGGAAATATGTTTGGAATAGGCAAAAGCTCTGTTTGCACCATTCTAATTGAGTTTTGTCGTGAAGTCTGGCGATGTTTGTGGCCTTTATATTTGAATAAATTCCCAATGAACCAAATTCAATTGCGGGAGTATTTAAATGGTTTTGAGTCATTGGGTTTTCCTCAAGTATTAGGAGCTATCGGTAAGAAGTTATACTCTTTACAATTGACTTATTTTTAATTTTTACGTTTAAGATGGATGTCACATAGAAGTTCATCCAACAGCAGAAGATGCCATGGAGTATTTGAATGATAAGGACTGGTATTCCACAGTTCTTCTGGCTTTAGTTGATGCAAGGTAACTTTTGCATGAAGCTCGTTAGAACTCCTATGGTATTTCTTTAATATTATAGATGTCGCTTTATATACATCAACGTTGGTAGTCCAGGCGGTTATAATGATTCTTCAATATTTGAGAGCTCATCTTTAAAATGCCAGTTGGTTCAATCTAGCTTATTTAATGACGTGAGTAGGCAAATATCGTCAGTTAATGTTCCAGTCGTTCTCTTGGGTGACTCTGCRTTCAAACTTGATGAACATTTGATGAAACCATACCCATTTCGCAAAAACCAACCTTTGAATGAAAAAAAATATAACAACGCACTCTCGAAATGCCATAGAGTTGCCCACACAGCTTTCAATCATTTAAAGGCAAGGTTTAGGCGGGTTGGCAAAGGCTTTGAAAACCACATGGGCAACACAAAATCTGTCATTAAAGCATGCTGTGTATTGCACAACTTTTTGAATGAGGAAAATGATGAAATTAATGAAAGGTGGATTGCAGCACAACAAATCGAAAACCAAACTCGGCAGTTGCCAGAAAACGAACCTAACATACCTGGAAATGTTAGCCCAAGGGCAGAGAAAATAAGACAAGCGTTCGTTTCATATTTCGGTAAGTGATTGCATTCAACTTTGAAATATTTTTGCACCTCTACATATGTATATATATATATTTGTAGTTTTATAATACTATGGCTTACGAGTAAACTACACATAAAAGCGCTCAAAAAAATTATACATAAAATAAAAATTTTTTATAAAAAATAACATAAAACAGTCCGACTAATTTTGGCGGCGAAGGAAGTCGATGAAAGCATCCTTCATCTCGCTAATGTCGTTGGCATATTTTTCTAAAATAAGTAGCCGTTTTTCATCGGTCTCCTTCATCGCCTGAGTCGCCTTCAAAAAATCCTTCCTCATTTCCTCCATTACTGACACTGCTGTTTTCTTTTTAATTTTTCTAGCGTCATTGGATGAGGGGAGATTGGAAGGGTCGGAAGACGATGCGGCAGGACTCCGAGGTGTGAATGGATTTGAGGATGCGAATGGATTCGGAGATGCGATTGGACTCGGTGGTTCGCCAAGACTCGAAAGTGACGATTCTGCTTCATTTTTAACCTCTACAGGAAAKGACCCTATTTCGTCAGTATCCACTGAAAATAAATATACATATAAAAGACAATGACAACAAACAAATAAAAATTACTGAGAAATATTCCACAAAACGCCGTTTACTTGAATTATACAATAACAACAGCAAATGTAGAAAGGAATTCGACATGAAAAGCTAATAATTGTTTTTACTTGGGGTATTATTTGTTTTCTATTATTTCTTTTAGTTCTTTAATAAAATATGTAAATAAGKTAACATTGCTTATTTGTTAGAGTGAGAACAAAAAGAATTGAAYAAAAGTTAAATATTGAMTTAAATTTTTCTTTGCATTATTTAATGTAAAATAAATGTGTAGAACCGAATTAGTAAAGTGTAAGCGGATATAAAAGTCAAAAATACAAGTGCTAAAYTCATTATAAATCGTAGAAACGTGCATTTCAAATAGAAAATTTAGTTGAACTTTAAATGCAAATATTTCAAAAGCCATAAGTTAGCGGGAGCCATATGCTTATGTGTTCTTAATTTGGAGAACCTCATCTATCAGTACATAACCTTTTTAACTACGAATTCGGGGAAGGCCATTTTAAAATTTACCTATTCCATTAAATTAGCGATATAGTACGAATTAATTTTTTGTTATATTTRTTTAAAATATACGACGAATTATAGACTACTCCAATATATTTACAACTTACCCATAATGCTGTCCTCGACAAGCTCGTCGGAGCAAAAGCTTTTGTAGCCACCTATCGCTTGGTGGACCGCAGCAAAATGCTTCCAAGCCGAAGACGAGCCACCAAATACATCAACTTTCCGTTTCTCTTGCCTAAAAACATACAACAAATAATATTTAATATAAAATTATACTTCTTAACTTATAACGTACTTATATTTGTTAGTAAAATTATGCATTTTAATTTTTATTTCTGTGGCCGTATAATTGTGGCCAAATGTGTTCATTTCTCTGGACATCTCTTCGTAAATGTGGCTATTCTTTCTAGTTGATTGAAATTTTGGCATTTTTTCTTGCCACAACTGTATTAGATCGGTTTCAGCAGCCTCGTTCCACAATACCCGCTTTTTTTTCTTAACAATATCACCACTTGCCATTTTCACTTTTACTAAATAATTGCATTAAATCTCTTCACTTTATTTGTTTGTATAGTTTTTTGCACTTTGAAGCTTTAAACATATGGACAATCGCACTACAAACGTAGCAACAGCGTCTTGAAGTCTGTTTCTTGAGCATTTGGAAGACGGCAGCGACATATCAAACAGCTGATCTACGCAATTTCGTTGTTGCCCTACTAACGCTACAGTTATATGGTCAGAACTTGCTTTCAAGTTGATCACAAAAACTACTTGTCAAAATGTATTTAACTGTATAGCCGTGACGTAAGCTACAAGCAACTTGATAATCAATAATAGTTTCAATAAGCTGTGGTCAAGGAAATCACATTTAATTTTTAAAAGCACTTTCATATAAAACTTTCCTCGCTTTGCGTGACAATTCATACTGGTATAACGARGCGTAGGAAACAAAGGTGACTTCATGTCATTCTTGTGGCAAGGCGTAAAAAGTTGAGAGTTGACCAACATTTTGCTTTTTTGCAATTGAAGAAATGCTTATATTTGTTTACAAAAATATGTGATCAGCTGTTGTAACTTGATCGTCAAGTTGCCCCACGACTTGAAGGGAATAATTTGATGTTTTTTAAAGAATTTGGAGCTGAGAGTTGTCATTTCAGGTTTTGGTGAAGTTTACCAGACCAAGCAATAGGAAAATCTTTTTTCAACACGTTGTCGATAAAGTTCTGGTTAGCGCTTAACTAGACATTTAGATAACGGCCCTGATTTTGACATCATTAACGTTAAACACGATATGACAGTTACTTGCGTTGACGTAAACAAAGTTGTATGCGATAGGAAAAACACATATCTATTGGACGCCATCGCGACTAACTATATTATAACTTCGTTTCACTGATTTATCTTTACTCTAATATCACTGTTTTGTTCACAATTATTTGTGCATTGTTATGTAGAGACAACACAAACGTAATTAATTTGGAAATATTTCATTAAAGTACAACATAAATAAAATAATAAAGTCATGTAACACCAGCAAATTTCCTTTTCCCGTAGAAAGGATCTAATATCTACAACCAACATATTTCGTAAAAGTATCATTTAAGGCAGCCTTCAACATGAATTCCAACAWTCCAAAACTGTTAGCAACATCAAGCAAAATTCAAATTAAGCAACATGTGCCCATTGGCTCAATTAGGAAGGGTCCTCACGCTATAGAACGCAGTTTAGTTCCAGACGAAGTTGTTATTAAGCGTAGATTCGGTAATTCTAATTACTTACTAAATATACTGATATTAAAAAATGCTATCAGATCTTGAGGCGAACTTAAATGGGACAAGATATTAGCTTGTTCAAATGACGCACCAATCAACGTACCAGGATAATTCGGAGCAATATGGAAAATTTTCTTGCTGAAAAACTACAATCAACATGCGACTGGTATAATAAAGTGAGTATAAACTAGAAAGAAAGGTGCAGTATAATATTTTTCTCTAAAGTAATATATAAGGTAAGTTTTTAAAAATAATTTAATAATCCATCAGAGTGTGTAGCATTAGTGTCTAAACGTATTGAAATCTTAGTGTTAACATATTTAAAGTTTGTGCAGAATATACAAAATAATTTTCGATAAAATTAACACTAGATAATTTTGTTAATTCAAAGATTGAAACATTTGTGAGATTCGCACTCACCGCTTCATAGAAAGCGAAACGGCAAGCTTAGGACGATCTACTGTTAATAATATTATGTATATTTACTTTTTTTTTCGAATAAATAAAATTATTTTCTAGCCTTTAGAAGCAGCCTTATACTACAATCAACAATCCATGAAGTAATACTCGCTGCAAAGCAACACAAACAACAATCAACATTCCATGAACTCGGACAATTTGGAAATTGATATCTTCTCGCACATACGGATTACACCAATCAACTCAAACCTATTAGATGATGTAAATAAATATTCATATTCAATAACTTAATACGTGTTAGAAATTTAAAGTTAATTAATCGAAATTTGAACGTCTCGTTTGAATTCACTTTAACGTTTGAAAGATGATCATTAAATAGTGACTGGAGACTTAAATTTTAATCTTTTTATTAAATCTTTACAAAGTTCTTTCTTATTCTAATCTTAATATATAATCTTGTTTTAAAATTTTAATTAAAAATATTTCGTTGAATAATATTAAATTTTTTGAATCGTAAAAAATACCATTATAATTATTCAACAAAAAGCTGAAAGCTGCGATGAAAAATTGTTGATATATAAATCAAAATTATTTTTTATAAATCACTAATGGTGATATTAATCGTGTTCACAGGTGAAGGTTCAAAGCCTTTGTTTCAAAGAGATGATATCGTAGTGAATCCGGACARTGCTGTAAATACCGCTGAAGATAAAAGCGGAAAGCAAAGCAGCACAGAGGATATTTCAAATCGATGGCGAAAAGAGCGCCACATTTCGACTGTAAGTGAATCATAAATATTTGCATATGGTGATATTTAAATACAAACCACAATTTTTAATTAATATCAATTTATTAAGGATTCCAGTAGTCCAGAGCGTTATCGAAAATATCACAACAACCAAAAGAAAGATAGTGAAATCGAACCCAGCGATAAAACCATTCGACGCACGAAAACGACGAAACCTGTTAATGATGACAAATATGCAGCTCGACGTGACGCATCACCACCACCAAATCGTCGTCGAAAAACCCCTGAAAAAATTCCATATTTTGTAGACCAAGTAAGGGAGCGAGACAGAATTCGTCGTAAGTATGGATCGACAAGAAATAAATCGCCTCCAGCATCATCTAAATTACGACGCAGGCGTAGTATTTCAAGGTCACGCTCACGATCTCACTCTCGAGATTCATTGAAAACTAAACAACGTTCACCAGCTCGTCGAACTAATTTTCGTCGCCGGTCAATTTCAATGGATCGTGAATGGGGTGACAATAGTAAGCGGGCACGGGAAAGAGAAAAATCACGTGCAGATAAGGATTTCCATGGGTCAACGAGGCACTACCGACATAGATCAGATGATCGCGCGAAAAATGTGCGCAGATCCCGAAGTTCTCGGACACATTCAAGATCACGCACTCGTTCGCGTGAACGTTCGTCGCGCATAGCTACGCAAAATAGCGAACACCATAAATATCGTTATAATGAGAATGAAGAACAGAATGGGAATGGCGAAAGAAATCTGTCGCAACCGCAAATCATAACCATACCCGTRCCGGTTCCAGCTGATTTTATGAATTATGGTTATGTAAGTTAATTATGGTTAAGTTGTATACATGGCATCTTCCTAATAGCTATTACAGCTTAGTTTTTTCGATTATCCTGTATTTGCCACTACAATACAGTAATTTGTAAACAATATTCGTAATAATTAAGATTTTTTTTTTTCGTTTATGCAGCCAACCTGGCCAACTCAAACACAGTGGGCACCTCAGTCATCACGCTATGCAACTCCCACTTATCCTATGCCTACTTTCGTGCCTGCTGTTTTACCACCATTGCGACACCCAATGCCACCTTATGGATTACCTCCACAACCAATACGTTACGGTGGACCTGGTTATAGATTACCTGCACAATTTGGTGCAACACGCCATTGGCGACCCAATTTTCGATCAAAAAATACATAATTTATGTGTAATACGCAGATTAAAATTGGATACAATATAGRTACATATATCAAGCGTAAGAATTATATGATTTTACTCTTTTGTGTTTATTGTACCACATTTGGTAGTTGTAGTTAAAATTTAATAACTTCTCGTGTGTAATTGCATATATGTAAATATAATTAAAATTTGAATTTCTATTTTCTGATCGAAAGTGAAATTCAAAGATAAAAAAAAATATTTTTCACATTCGTAAATTTTTCCGATTGGAAGCTTCAAAAAGCAAGGATGTAAATTTTAAAATACACTTATTTTTGTATTTGATTTTCTTTTATTTACAAATATATATTTATATATACGAATAGAGCAATTATGATTATTTGACATTGTTTTCAATCTTTTGATGAAAAATACAGAATTATGGAAATATAAAATAAAATAATAAATAAAATATGTAGAGAACAGCATATTTGATATTTTGATTTGAAAAATATTAAATAAATACACTAGTAAAGTAGGAGGTATTCTTACTACAMAATTTCTTATAAGAAATTAAATATTTAAAATGAGAACATTAATTGAATGGTAGGAAGTCACAAAATGTTTAGATTTATGTTGCAATGYAATGATATAAATTCCAGCTTCCAAAGTTATACACAAGATCTGTAAAAATATGTTCAAAAATAATATCATTTAGATCTAGAACAAAAATTTAGTGCATTACAGTATAAACACATACGGGACATATGTTAAAAGGAAGATTTGTCACCGTTATTAGTGTTTGCTATTTGTTTTAAATATAATAATTTTTTTTTGTTAAAACCTGACCTTGAAGCTTATAATGTCTAAAACATTACTTTCACTTTTTATTACACTTAATAATTTTATTCACTTGCATACATATATGCATGCATGAAACTCTTCTATCCTCCTATTGTAAATATATTACAATACTTATTTCGATTTTTCTATCTTACATCTGAAATTCACTTCGAATTTTAAACTTGTCTAAAAAACTAGCGTTTCTGTTTTTGTCTAATTTATATATATATGTATATATATATATATATATCTTTGTTAATGTTAATTAAAAAATTAAACTGTTGCGTTGGTATTCACTTTTGATTTCACTTAACATTGGTTTTCGTACAAGTTTATGTTACACGTTTGTTTTAAAAGGCTTCATACCAGATCAACTCGCGGTCGAAACTGTAAGCGCAGAGGAGGATCTCTAAAACGCCAACGCGTCACATACACAAACTTTAGCGTATGATCTTTGCCCAACAATTCTTCATTGCACAGTATGTCGATCTAAAAATACATAAAATCAATACGCATTGATATTTTTTTCTTTTTTAACCTTTTTTTTTTTTGCGAAAACAATTACCTCTCGATATTTGTCAATGCCATTTAAAATTTTCTTGGCAACCAATTTTTTCAAATGCGTTATAGTCGCTTGTGAGCTGCAGCGTATAAAACGTCGTTGCAAATTTTTAAAATTATTGCTCATACATTCGAGGCTTACGTTCACCTGCTCGTCTAGACGATGGAAATCAGATTCTGCATGTGCCTCGAGCATTTTCTCATCGTCGTCGTGATTTTGCGGCATATCTTTAGGGCAGGGAATGTTTCGACTTTTATAAAAATCTCGTTCTCTTCTCATTTCATCTACATTAAAAATTATAAAATTTTATTTCATAGCAATTTCATTCCATTTTCAATTGTTTAGAAATCTTACCTTCTTGTAGATTTGGTACCAACTTATAAACGATATCCTGCATGGTTCGATCAAAGCTGATGTACTGCAGTGGGTGTGACTGATGAATGACCATGTCGCAAGTGGGACAGGTTTTCTTTTCTTCCAAATGTTTTACCAAACAACTTTTACAAACTAAAATTATAAAATGGAATTTATAAGAGCTATATTTATATATGCATATGTATATTGGATAGTGTATTACTAACATGTATGTAGACACTCAGTGACGGTTGTGGCATCAATAAAGTAACCACCGCAGATCTTGCACGTTATGTGCGGATTTATGGTCTTAAGCTTAACACGACGTTCCATGGTTTCTTTTAATCTTTTCTGCAGCATATAGATCGCAGGAATACTGCAGAATTTCAGTAAACATTGCACTTGTACCCCAAATCCGCAAAGCAGTACAAATTACTAATACCTAATTTGGATAGCCTTTTGTGACAATAATACTTAGTATTGCATGTAACGTTTTGGATCAGTTAAGTTCTGCAAGTTCACACATATAATATACGCTGCTAAATCTATCTTGCTACACAACGGCAAACATTTCCAATTCACCTTGGGTATATTTGAAGGATTTTGATCGCCTAATTTATATCCTCTTTAAACATATTTTATTTATCATTTGCATTATAAGACGAATATAACTATAAACAGAACATTGAAAAATATAAACACTGATTATGTTATTAGTAAAAACAAAGAAATTAAACAATTACGCGAAACCGAAAAATTGACACGAACACGGGGTTTTTATAATATTTTTTTATAGAAGTAATGAAATAAATGATGAGGCGAATTGGAGGTTGGCACTACTGGCTGTCAACTTGCATTTAGTTTATTCTTCAACAAGACCATAACTACGTGTTTACAACACAACTCAGCACATTGCAAATGTGATTTCATTCGCATTTATTATTGCAATCAATATTAATTTATTCGTTATTTAATTAATAGAGTTGTAGTTAGTGGAAAAGATTCTCACAACAGTAATTTCAAAGCATAGTGTTATTTTRTAAATTACTTCATAGCGTTTTATATAAAAGTTAAACCGATCTGGCAGGGCAGAATTTCTAATTGTATCAGCTGGATAATCAACAGTCGTGTGAATTTACAAAAAGTTATATATTGTAATTTTTTTGAGAACTTAGATTGGTGTTTATATTTGTGAAAGGTATAGTTTGTTAACAAACATAAGAGTGTTCTAATTTAATAGCACATGTTTTATTCATTTCGTTTTTTCCTAAAGAGCTTGTGCATTCCATCGATTATTTACCGGCCCACATTGCAACATTTTGTTGAAAGCAATATGTATACAGATGTGTGTGTAGGACTGAGTTGTTAAAATTTGAATGGGGTATATTAAGTTTGCACGAAGGGGAAACGTCGAAAACCTATTATGTATATATATGTACGTGATCAGCTTAAAGAGCTGAGCTGACTATGTCAGTTTGTATACATGCAAATTTGTCTACAAGTTTAAAATCTAAAATTTTGCTCRTATCCTTTTCTCATCAAGAAAATAGTAATTTGTCAGAACCGCCGATATAGGGCGACTGTAGCATAAAGCTGCCGCACAAACTGACTGGTCACACTCAAATTGTTATTGGGAAACTTTTATATTTGACCAAATTTATCACGGATTATTGTCGAAGGCAGCGCTAAAATCTGCAAAGAAATAGTTCATATCGGGGAACTACATAGCTGCCATACAAACTGACCAATCAGGTTCAASTCCCTGTGTAAAAAAACTTTTTTATTCGGGAAAGTATTTTTACGAACATCGCCTTTTAACGTTATAAGCTCCCAAGAAGTTGTTCAGATCGGRTCGATCTATATCAGATAAGGTTTTTTTATACCCTACTATACGAAATGCACATGTGGAGGAAATTATAGCTTGCAGCTATGCAGYCAWAGTTAACGTTTTTCTTGACCTTTTTCATTATTGATCTTATAAATTTAGTGCATATATGCATTACATGCAGTAATCTGTAGCACAATTTATTGCTTCAGTATGCATATCAATAACATTCACAAAATCCTGCTCTAAAATTCTAATAAACAATATGACTAATATAAATCGAACCTAATAAGATTTTTTTACTTATTTTCAGTAAAACCATGAATATAACGAAATAAGTTTTTTTATGTATGTGCATATGTATATATTATATATGGAATACCCATTGTCATGCAGTCAATGAGGCGGTTTTTAGAAAGAAATTCAAGTCGTTAAAGCAACGCAGTCTACAAACCTACATCCATATATACATACATACGAACACACTCAGTACAAATTATGCAGAGTAAAATAAAAGTAAATTTTTAATAATTATTGACGTATAAAAACTTCAATAAAGCGGAAATATTACAATTATTTGTATAAAGCTTGCATTTTTGTATATTTATGAATGTATGTACTTATTATGGCCAAAATCAAGTAACTTTCATTCTTTACAGGGCCATTGCCTTCTGTTTGATATAAAGGCAACACGCAAACGCACAAAACGGCAACAACATATATACATAAATATATATGTATAACAACTGCAGTAGTACGAGTAATACATTGCAAAAAGTAGAAAAACTTGTATTTGCTTAAAAATCTAAAAATTGTTGTTTTTTCCCCTCACRTCCCCTACCATACAAAATCCTCTCAGTACAATCTAAATTGTATGGTATTTCCTAATAATACACATACAAGCGTCATCATTTTCTGAKTTTTACTTGTAATTTTAAACTATCGGTGTTCGGACACAGTGGCAAATTCAGTAAAACAGTGTATCAACATGGTCGGTCGAGTACTGGTCTACGGCGGCAAAGGCGCTTTGGGCTCTGCCTGTGTTTCCCACTTCAAATCAAACAACTACGTGCGTATCAAGCGCTTTTAGTACTTTYCCTTTAAGAACATTAGTTAAAATGAAATAAATATTTTACTTGCAGTGGGTTGGTAGTATTGATCTCAGCGTGAATGAAGAAGCGGACGCAAGCATYGTGTTACCCCGTGAACTTAGTTGGGAGCAACAAGAGGCTGAAGTGTTAACAAAGGTCGGCGATGCTTTAAACGATGAAAAATTGGATGCTGTAATTTGTGTTGCAGGCGGTTGGGCGGGTGGTAATGCCTCCAAGGGTGAGTAATCTTATACAAAAATGTCTTACATTCTTTGTTACATATATATATAATATTTTAAATTTTATTTTACTTAGATTTGGCCAAAAATGCTGATTTAATGTGGCGCCAAAGTGTTTGGACGTCAAGTATTTCGGCTGCTGTCGCTTCCAAGTACCTAAAAGATGGCGGCTTATTAACAYTGACCGGCGCGCAACCAGCGTTACAAGGCACATCCGGCATGATCGGTTATGGTATGGCCAAGGCCGCTGTCCATCAGCTAACACGTTCACTGGCTGGGAAAAATTCTGGTTTACCCACTGATGCCATCGCAGTTGCAATATTGCCAGTTACTTTGGATACACCAATGAATCGCAAATGGATGCCAAAGGCAGATTTTGGTTCATGGACACCTTTAGCTGAAGTTGCCGGGTAAGTCATATGACTTAAGCTTAATATATTTTATAACAAATGTTTTCGTTATTGTGAATTACAGACTTTTCTATAAATGGACTCAAGGCAAGGAACGACCAAACTCTGGTTCCCTGGTACAATTAATCACTAAGGATGGTGTTACACAATTGGTAGAAGCTAACTAAATATTGGCATGCATTATGGGAAACCGTCAAAATCCGACTCGTGAACGTTAGGGAAATAAGCATATGATACAAGCGTACATACATATACATATATATTTATTGATTAACAGATTGCAAGTTATAGAAAATAATAAATATGAATTCCAAAAGTTTGAATTTCAAGTTGATATACATACATATTCGCCAACTCTTACAAATATGTCTATGTACATKAAATGTTTAAAATATATTGTGTTGTATATATATAGTGAAAGATGTGCGGATGTTTCTTTTTTGTGAAGGGAAGTAAAATTATRTAGAGATACTGAAAGTTCAATCATATTTGATAACCTGTTATTATYTGCTTTCTATAGACAAGTAGATCTGCCCAATCTGTATGCTACGGAACTAAATATGTATGGATATGTATGTGTATAACTTTAAAAAGTACCAATGATGAGATCAAACTGTATTAGCACAATACATTTATAGAGTCGTTACAACAATAATAAATGCTTGTACCAAATGCAAATGAAAGAAGAGAACGGAAATATATAACATAGGAATATTTTAGTATTTTCGTTGTTACATGAATGTTTATCTTTATAAATTACATATACCTTACATATAAATAAATACTTAGGCATATACGATGGGCAGCCTAAATATACAAATGCCTAAACAAGTATAACAAAMATATATTTAAAAAGCAATATGTGCTATATATATACTCTAATGTTCCACTCATATTGTTTTTATAAATTATTAAATGACGAATTTCTAAACAAAATTTGCATACTCTATTCATGATATAAATCTGCAGTGTGCAACCGGCATTATTCCTTATTATTATTTTCGTAATATCTATCTGGCAACRCTCAAACACAAAGCAAACGTGAGCTCTATCCAAAAAAATAAATTTGTAGAAGTGTGAGGAAAAGGATTAATATTTTGCRGACAAAAGCTTCTTTGTTTTGTTTGTCGAATATAGTTGGAGCAAAGTGTAGTGATACAAAGGATCAAAGSCAGGACATTCACTTTAAAATCTACATCGTCTTACTAAACATCTTGTGTAAAGGGCCACTGTAAATTTTTGCTTTAACAATGAATAAACGAAATAATGTGAGTCTAATGACTAAATTATTAAAAATAAAATCGCATTTCGAGTTATTTGTATAATAATTATATGTGGGATTACAGATTCGTCTACCCCCTGAAGTAAATCGTCTGTTATACGTGCGAAATTTGCCTTATAAAATCACATCGGATGAAATGTATGACATTTTTGGCAAATTTGGAGCCATAAGACAAATTAGAGTGTAAGTGTAGCAAACATTTTTGTATAAAGCCAATTTGCACATTGTTAACAATGGATTTTTCAGTGGTAACACACCTGAGACGAGAGGAACGGCCTTTGTTGTCTACGAAGATATTTTTGACGCCAAGAACGCTTGTGACCATTTATCTGGATTTAATGTCTGTAATCGTTATCTTGTTGTCTTGTACTACCAATCTAATAAGGCATTTAAACGGCTCGATGTGGATAAAAAACAAGAAGAGCTTAATAACATAAAATCAAAATATAATCTAAAGACTCCAGAGGCGCCTTAGGTCCAGTCTTTCAGGAGATTGTGGGAGGGAATTACCTTAAACTTAATATTTCAAATCGTTTTAACATTTTTAATTTAATTTTGTAAATTTCTTACATTATTTTCTTCTAAAAAAAAAAAAAAAAAGAACATGATAATTGATTTATAACTTAAATATTATATTTTTTTGCTTTGATAGAATGGGTATAATTTATTACATTGTTTATAATTATTTTAAAACTGATGTGGCATAACTCATAAGATATCATATTTTGCCCATCAAAGCTTCTAAATATTCTTTGTTTTCACAATATCATCAGAAATCATCATCATTCATACAAATCATACTAATTGATTCCAAACATCATCATAACATCATTATAATAACAAGCAATAAATGTAAAATCGAATTATATGGTCTTATTAATTTACCTTACATATTGACGTCGGATATGTTATTGTAGGATGACACATATTTTTATATACAGTCAGGCTTTAAGGATTAACTATTTTCCATTTTTATATAATTTTTTACGTGTTTGTCAGTATATATACGATATATAGCTCCGAGAATAATTTTTTCCCAATGCTTTAAATGCCTTTCACAATTAAGGTCCAAGTTTAAGTTCATAATAGTATGGCAACCACGAATGATGTTATTGGGGAATTTCATTGACAGATCAGGCATTTTCAGACTGATTTAATATTGTTCATAGATTGTAAATAAATGTAAAATAAGGGATAACAACAAATTGCAATGAGTAACGAAGCTCCATGCTGTATAAATGCGCTTTGTCGAATTTGTTTGGAACAGTTGCAGAATGGGAATACGTATGATCTATTTGCTATACCTGGATTAGCCAAAAAGTTATGTGTTTGTACATCGCTAACGGTGGAGCTTCACGATGGATTTCCACGGAATATATGTGGAGTTTGTTATACCCGTTTAAATGACGTGCAAGATTTTTTAAAAATGTGTGTGGAGTCCGTAGCAAAGTTTCAGGAAATGGTAGCAAACAATTTAATTAAAGACCAAGCTATTGCTCTGGCTGTATTAGAAACAGGTGACGTAGATGCACAAAGTGCGGCTGTTGAGGATGATGAGCCTACAGACTTTGATCCACTCTTAAATCATAAATTAGAAATTATAGACAATGCAGAGGATGTTTTTAAAATGTTGGAAAACGTTGACAAAGAAGTTATTGATAATGTGGTTAATATTAAACCCGAAGTTTCTGTTAATGATATAAATATACCTGACGAAAAGAATGTAAACAGTGATAATTCCGAATTTCATGATAATGATGATTCTGATTATGAACCGTTTAACGACGAATGTGGTGATGAAAGTGACGATGAAAAACCGTTGGCTGCACGTTTACGGAAGTCTCGAAGATCCAAAAGGGCACTAAGAGGTGAAAATATAATCGATGATGGACTTGAAGCGGATGATTATGAGGCGCCAATCAAAAAGAAAAAGATGAAACGAAAACGCCGGCTTCGAGTGGAAGGTGACGACTCATCCGCCAATACTATAGAGTGCCACATTTGTCAAAAAAGGTTCAGAAAATCAGAGAGATATGAAGAACATATGCGACATCACAATGATAAATTACCTCACCAATGTGCAGTTGCATCATGTTCGAAAGGATTTACTACAGCTAATGGTCTCCGTCTGCATATGGAACATTGTCACGCTGAAACATGTGAAAGTTTTCCATGTCCCGAAGAAGGTTGTGGTCGCACGTTTCCCCGGACACGTTTACTTAATTGGCATTTGCGCAAGGTGCATAAAATAGCGAAAGAGTTGCGGGAAGCCAAATGTTATACCTGTAATCAATGTGATAAAATCTTTCGTTGCCCCATGGCACTCAAAAAACATATGTATAAACATGATGGCAAGGAGCTGCCGTTCCCTTGTAATATATGTGGTAAACGTTTCGTAATCAATAGTGCACTTAAAGATCATCTTATGAGGCATGCCGGAATTAAAAATTACGTTTGTCCTTACTGTGGAGTTGGAAAAACTACGCGACAAGAATGGAACACTCACATAAACACGCACACTCAGGAAAAAAAATTCAATTGTCCACAGTGTACATATGCGTCACACAATAAACAAAATTTGCGAATGCATGTGAAAATTGTGCACGAAAAGATCAAGGATTACGCTTGTCAGTATTGTGGCAAGACATTTGGTAAGTCTAACGCTTGCAAAATGCATGAAATGACACATACCGGTGAGAAGCGTTGTGAGTGCAAAGTGTGTGGGAAACGGTTTCTTTATGCCAAAGCTTTGACAAAACATCTTAAAACACATGAGAAGCGTGTATTACGAGCCATTGAAGTGTACCGTAAAAGACAAATAGAAAACGGCTTTATGCCGGCCGATGCGCCCGATATACCTATTCCCGAATTGCTTTCTATGGAATCACACACACAAGAGGCTCACCAAAAAGTAGCTGAAGAAATATTAAAAGTTTGTGCAGAATCTACCGCTACAATACCGAAAAATCCTCGACGTGTTGAACGCGTCGACATATCGGAGTTGGCAGGTACTGCTGTAAACCCCATACCATCTGTCGCTGTACCATCGTGGTCGCCACAAATAAATTTTATGATGAAAGAAGGTCCTTACATTTGTCCGGATTGTGGTCAAGGCTTCAATGGTCAGGGAAATCTTAAACGGCATCATCGAATCGTACACGAAGGTGTTAAAGATTTTGCCTGTCGTTTCTGTCACAAACGTTTTGCAAAAGCACAAACACTAAAACATCATGAAATGACTCACACCGGCGAAAAGCCACATGAGTGTACTAGTTGTGGAAAGCGTTTCATCCAGTATGTGGCATTAAAGCGACACATGAAAATACATATGAGTAAACCACCACCTGTCATACCCTCAAGCGTATACGAGGCCCGTGAAGAGTTAGAGATGCAGGAGCGTGAAAAGTTGGAAACCAAACGTAAAAAGCTGGAAGCACGTGCTGCTATTGCCGAACTTGCCCGCGAACAACTTAATGAAATGGTAGTACAAGAGCCGGACGATAAAATGTCGCTGCAATCAGATTCGGAGAAACCACAAGTACTGAATGAAATTCAAGAATTTATAAAAATCGATCCTACATCGGAACTAGGAAAGAAAACGTCAATTAATTCAAACTTAAGCGATTTCAYGCCTACGGAAATAAGCAGCAAGGATTCGTGAGCGAAAAATTTTACGATGTCGAAGAACCTGAGACTGCATTGCCTTTTCATAGCATTCGTATACTTATATACTTAGGTATCTATGGAACCAATGTTATATGCTTTCGCTGTGAAAGCTTATCGCCGATTTCAGTGGTCATTAAGAACAAGAATCGAGTTTCGTTACAATTTGTTTTATAATTGAGTTAATTAAATTTTGCATATTAATTTGTGTGTTTGCAAACAAAGTTAAGGGCATTAAAAGCATTTCAATTTCTTTACGAATCTTAAAAATTTAATACATTATTAAATGCATACTATGTATGTATGTGCCACTTTAAGTGCCACAAACATGCTACGTAATAAAGATTCGTAATGGAATATACATTTGTATGTATACGAARTAATGGCGTTTGCTAATTTACTTAAATATTAAATATATTTATAATTTGTTTTGATTTTGCAAAAAAATAAAAAACTATGTTGAAAAAATGAATCACAGTGCGTTCTGAAAATTTTAAATAGATTATACAACAAAGAAACGGCTCGTTGGGATGATAACACAAAATTATAAAAAGAGAAAAAACGTTAACTTCGGTTTCAGCTTTAATACTCTTCACTAATAAATAAAGGTAGCTTGTGTGGTAGCTTTTTAGGTAATATGCAAAATATTCCAATCTGAAAAAATTGTTTGGAGGCAATTATATATGCAAAATTTTGTGAAAATATCCCGTCAAATTAAGAAGTTTTCTAACTTGATTTTGATCGTTCAGATTACATGGGAGCTAGATGCTATATTAGTCCGATATCGGACGTGAGCAAGATTTCAGATGGATAACTCCAAAACTGAGCGGCTAGTTCGAATGTACGGACAGACGGACATGACTAAAYCGGCTCGTCATTCTAATTATTTTTRTTCAGGGTATAAATATGCAACTAAGGAATGCGAAGCATGCGTATGAGTCTAGTATAGCATAAAGCAACTGAACAATGATTGGTTGTAGTCCAATTTGTTTTCTATACTAATTTTTACTTAAATATTGTTTATGTCTATAATAGTCTTCTTTATTCTATAATAGTTTTTATTTTTTAATACCAATTTTCAAAACGTTTTATCGCCTTCATCCAATTTGCTATACGTTCTCTAATAGCCAATTGATACTGCGTGCGTGGTTCAAAAGTGCGTTCGATTTGACGAAGTTTTTGTAGATCGCCAAAACTATTCCATAGACCCATATTATATCCGACCATATAGGTCGCGCCAAAAATACTGGATTCAATTGAGGTTGCGCGCTCAACTTGTAGCCCTGTAGCATCTGCTAAAAGTTGACAAATAAAGTCATTACGTGATACACCGCCATCGACTCTAAAGTGGCAAGTAACAGCCCACAAAAAGGGAATGAAGCATGAATTTATAAGAAATTGTTAAGTATTATGTATGTATGCTTACCTCAGAAGTTTCAAAGTGAATTTCGTTTCCGCTTTAACTGTTTCACATAATTGTACGGTGCGGAAAACAATACTCTCCAATATGGCACGCACCAAATGCGCACGCGTCGTAGATAGTGTAATGCCAATAAACCCCGTTGCCGCTCTTGGGTTATTTATGGGAGGCTGGAAAAACAACCATTATTTATTTATAAATAACACATACTTATCTAACAATAAGCCAACGCTCACGCCCAAACCGCTGAAGGCAGGTATAAAATAAACACCATTCGTATCTGGAACTGTGTGAGCAATATCTGAAGTTTCCATTGGATCGTTAAAGAGACCACATTGCTTTGCCCATTCTATCACTGTGCCAATGTCATTTGATGCGCCCTCAACGCAGTAAACTGTGCGTGCTTTTTCTCTCGCGTCTCTGAATTGCCAAGCGACCAACGGATACAAGCCCATAACGGAGGCATGACACGTACTTCCAGTGATTAGATTGAGAAAAGCGCCTGTGCCCAATGTTATCTTGACTTCGCCACGTTCAAAACATTGTGAGCCCCACATKGCGGCCGTTTGATCACTGATAGAGGCGCTTATAGACACGCAGGAGCTATGCCATTCGGGTCCTAAGGCATTTGGATGTATATTGCCGAAACCTTTATAGTCATTGTCCACAACTGTAGGAAGTATYGCAGACTGAAACAAGATAATATCATTTATTAGAATAAATTCCTTATCATATCCATATGACAAAAGTAGTGACTTTCTTGATGAGTTTCAGAAAGTTTGAGAAAATGTACATATGTATGCATATATTWATATTATATCAAAAATAACCTCGATTCCGGAGAGAAACTTCGCAAGCGGCGTCCAGCAAAGCGTGAATGGGTCAAATAGACCCGTGGCGGTTGCGGAAGTTATATCGCTGATATGATCAATATTTGTTTGTAAGCCATTACCCGATCTACATAGGRCAAAACCAAATTAACAGAAAAAATATTGGTTGAATTTATGTTTKTCTAACCGCAATTTATAGAGTATCCAGGAGTCCAATAGTTCTACTCGTGCCTCTTTTCGACGCAGTGCTTCYTGAAGGCGTTTGTTGGTCTGTACCTCATGTAGAAGTCTTGTTGTTACCTAAACGAGATATAAAATATTTCAGAAATGTTAAGTCTAGCTCAAATTGAAGTCAAGTAGTTTTTGCGAATTATATAATAAATATGGTAGCARCAAAAGTCGGACTGCTTTAATTATTTAAAGTGTTTCCGATTCTTGAATGGTTTGCTTCGTTGTGGCTGTTGTACTGATAGGAAACATCGCTGAAGTAATTAGAAGGAATACTGTCGAGATGACAGTCCTTATACGGATAAAAATCGACATCTGCTCCAGTGATGTAGACCCAACAGCCTTCGGAAAGTTGTTATTTTCCATCGGTTTCATGAAACYCTACTCATTGGCWAGAGATTTTGAAATTATAACGGATATGAACACTATGTCACTAAAAGAGCTCGAAGCCTTCCAAAAAGATCTCACACCTCACCTCTTCTAGGTATTGTTACAAATATATTTACTAATTACGCTTAGCTTGCATATCACTCGTTTACTTACTTGTGAATTCATCATTTTCAAAACGCTCGCCGCCAAAAATCGATTGCTTCGTGTAATCAAATAGAGTGCATAGGAAGCGGTATTTAATGTCTTAACTATAATTCCAGCATTCCATTGATCCACCAAAGCATTTGCGCGCAAATCCTTCCACGTAATGAAGTTACTATAGTACTCCTGAGTCTCATGATTCCAAGTAAGGAATGTGCAGCGTTGTGTCGATAAGCCAAAAGAATTAATGTCGGCGGGCATTAAATGGGCTTCTGTGTGGTTCAAGTAATCAAAAAATATATGTTTGCGTTATTATTATTTTTTCTAATAATAAGAATAATGATAATAATTTGCAAGGAYTCATTTAATAGTACCGATACACGTTACTCTGAAAGTGTTGAATCGTATAAGTCACTCAWACTGGCATAATCAAGTAGAGAGTTGCTAACTTTTTTCACAAGAGAGCGCACCTACAGTGAAGTGAGAAGTGACGAACCGAAGACAGTTATTGACGTAGGTGTCGGGTAAATGGTTCATCTGTGGAAACACACCGGAAACCGTTGYCCGTAGAATAAAATACAATAAAACATACATATACATATATTACACATGTCTTTGATATCCAATTCTTAAAGACTTGGATGAAGGATTTTTTCAATTACAACTATTTGAAAAAAAAAAATGTCGCAAAATTTTCACTGAAATTTTTGTGATTTAAAGAAATGCCTGCGAAAAATCCAATTTTCAGTTTTATCCTTCGTCCAAGTTCTTAGTTAAGGTTTTAACTAATACACGATTTTTATACTCTCGCAACAAAGTTGCTAAAGAGAGTATTATAGTTTTGTTCACATAACGGTTGTTTGTAAGTCCTAAAACTAAAAGAGTCAGAT